ATAAGGGATTTCTTGGACTCTTTTAAGTCCCCTATCGCCAACGTTTGTCAGTTTTTCTAGTTGCTTGTCAGAGATTATCCTTCGGCCCCGTTTGGTATGCGGGAATGTGGTGGAATGGAATACCATTGTCACTTCTTATTCCCTCATACTAAACAAAACTAGTTTTAGATGTTGGAATGACCATTCCCATGGAATGGTTATTCCCACTTTTTGTGGGAATGAGCATTCCAAGTTAGAAGATAGGAAATGATCATTGCCATTCAAAGGAAGAATCAAATTAGTTAGGTTTTTTTAATTATACCCCTATTAATAATAAGAATCAATTTAAAAATCATGGCTTTTGACTACGTATTCTCATTTTCTCTCTGTTTTTTAGGCTCCACCGAAACAAAAAAGGCCTCCTTTCTATTGCATTTTTATTTAATTTTTTAAGACTAAGAAATAGTGAGAATTGTTTAAAATATATAAACGAAACATACACCTGATCGATAACATGCGCATTAGTATACCACATACCTAGATTAATATAACATATGCATAAATAAATTTTTTTAGTTATTATCATTAATGTTTATTTTTATCTTATTAAATCTATGTTGTTATAAGGGCATTATTAGAAAATAAGATTCCATTCTCACTTGTGAACTAGTGATACCAAACATGGGAATGGGAATTAGATTTTCATTCTAGCTTCATTCTACAAACGCACCCAAACAAGAGAATGTGAATGATCATTCCATTCTCACATACATTCCATTCCATTCTTTCTTCCATTTCATGCTCACTTGACTTCATTCCACGTACCAAACAAGACGTTAGTTCCTTCGTTCAACATCTTCTACAATTTATTTGTTATGAAGAGGTCCAAAGGCCCATTCTATTACACTGGCAGTCGTTGTAATGTCTCGTCCGTAATTGTGAAGGGGCTTCTTCATGTTCATAAGCATTGAAAAGATAAAATTTTCTTCATTCGCCTTAAGGAGACGATAATTTTTCTTCATTCACTTTGTTGAGACTCCAAAATCCAAAGTGGATTGAGGCCCAACCATCCTCGTATTATAGATGTGACTCCCTCGATAAATGATAGTGACAAAGAGGATTTCCTCCGTCTGAAAACCTTTGTGGCCCTCGAGAGGGTTTTCAAAACTTTATTTTTGCTAGTTCTTTACGAGGCTGGCGTAACGGCCCCAAGCTTCATGCTAGTGCTGGAGGGTCCAAAGGAGTTGCCACCCAAACGGATGAGAACATAAAGAAAATGGAACATGAGCAAAAGAAAATAGGTTAAGGGGCTGTTTGGTTCGTTTTTTAACTCGGAGGAAAAGTTTTACACCGCCTCCACATTAGATTTTTCGTGGCCACGTAGGATATAAGCTTTCCGTTGGTTTTTTTCCTATCTTTGGTTCACTAGGGTTGAAGAAGGAAAAACTCGGTGAAAATCGTCGCCACATCAGATATTTTTCTCTCCCCCAATTCCTTCCTCAACCTCATGAAAATTGACGAAAACTGCAGCCACGTCGGCTTTTTGCCATATAAACAAAAGTTTTTTTTCCATGCGAACCAAACACAAGAAAAATAAATACATTGGTTTTCCACCATTTTTTTGTGTGAACCAAAGCGAAACAATCTATTTCTTGGAAAAGTTTGGAAAACTCAAAACTTAAACAATCTATTTCTTGGAAAAGTTTGGAAAACTCAAAACTTGTGTTTTTGTACATGAAAATGCATTTCCCTATATCTAGGAAACGAATCAAAACTTGTGTTTTTGTACATGAAAATGCATTTCCCTATATCTAGGAAACGAACCAAACAGCCCCTAAGAGACAGAAGAAAAGGGAAATATTAAAAATCTAAATGAATATTAGCTATTTTTTTAACGGATTTGATAATCTAAAGATAACGGGTGAGGGTTTCACGATACATGACCAAACGTGGCAGAGATTTCGTCATAATTACCCTAGTTTATAACGGATCTCAAATACATATTGTAGAATCCGACCCGCCCGCTTCAGCAAGCTGTGATATCCGTTTCTGTGGCTCGAAATGGGGAGAACACAAAAAATGCCAAAAAAAAGTCCAGAGGATAGAATATCTCAATTGGAGCCTTGGAGAAAACACGACTGAGCTCGCTCTTGGTCTTTCCTCTGGCAGCGCAGAGGGGAATTCTGATGTCTGCTGCCGACGTCTGCCGCCTTTCAAAGGGCCTCTTCGTCTTCTCCCAGCACGGAAACTCGCGGCTAGGAGGACGAAGGACGAAGGGCTCTTGTTCCTTTCAGCAGTCGAGCTCTATTGCTCCCTTTTCATTCGTCGGTGGCTCTTGCAGTCGCTTGTGTTCTGCGAACTTCCCTCAACCTGTTCGTCGAAATGCCACAGTGGCAGCAGCTGCTGGAACTGAAGTCTCCATGGATGCTGGCCAAGACCGGCTGATGAAGGTACCAAAATCGCATTTTTTTTCGGGTATTGTTGGGTTGAGTACTTAAACTTCGATAGAGTACGCTATTTATATTTCAATCCCAAGCTTTTTTTTTAAACACTGGCAATGGGCCTGTGAGCCTCAACCGTGTTAATCGGAACTAGAAAAGAGGAGTTGAGAAAACATTTTGAATCCTAGAATTTGTCAAGGGAGAAGTATGGGGAGTTGAGAAGGCATTTTGAATCCTAGAATTTCTCAAGGAAGAAGGATGGGGTATAGTTATGCTTATTTGACTTGTAATAGACCTTACCTGATGGCAGACTGTTCGCACACATATGTAAACACATTGAAAGGGGAAAACCAATTCCAGCTTATCATTTTTCGAGTGTTCCACTTCTGCATTTAGTTCCATATTTTAGTGAAAGGCATTCCTAGTTCTATATTTAACAAAGTGAATGTTGAGTTTGAACTACTTAGCAGTGAATCTGGATGAAATAATTTATATTGTTCAAACCGAAAGGAATGAGGCTCGAGTTTGAAGTTCATAACAAAACAATCAACGGCTTAATTACCAAATTGGTATTCTAACTTCATCCTATTCTCAATATGGTATTTATTTCTGCTCTGGCATCAATAGGGTATTTTAACTTGTGCCACAATGACAATAAGGCCTTTTTTCAAGCTGCTGGTGAGAATTCCGGCGAACTATATATTTTTTATTTTGGAAAATTTCTTCAATCCCCCTCGCCTATCAAAATTATTAAATCTACACCCTCCTTCTCCTTCAACCTCACCCGATTCAAATTCTTCCACCTTTTTATCGAATAAGATCCTCCTTCACCCTTTTTTCCCCCACTCATCAACAGAGCCCCCTCTTTCTCCTTCAAACTCCCCCAGTTTAAATCTAAACCCTAATCCAAATTGGTATCAACCTAGATGAAGGTTGTTAGCGTTGGATTATGGTTTACATTTGAATTGGGAAAGGTTGAAGGAGAAAGATGGGCCTCAAAGGAGGATCTTATTGGGTAATGGGGTAGAAGAAATTTGAATTGGGAGAGATTGAAGGAGAAAGAGGGTGTACATTTAATAATTTTGATAGGTTGCGGGGATGGAAGAAATTTTCCCAAAAAAACAGTTCATCGGAATTCTCGCTGCCGCTGAGAATAAATACCATATTGGAAATAGGGTGAAGTAAGAATGCCAATGTGGTAATTGAGCCAACAAACAACCCTTTAGGCTTGTAACACATGCAATGCACATCTGATTAGGGGAAAAAAGAAAGCCTTGGGAAACGTACAAAGTGTTATTGAAAAGTGGTCAGGGTAATTTTTCAGTTGCTTTCTTCATTCAAAAAATAAGCGATGGGATGCATCCAGTTGGATGTAAAATTTATAACATTCTTTTAAAATTTAAGTTTTCTACGAGATGAAATCCAGCATCCAGTTGGATGTAAAATTATAACATTCTTTTAAAATTTTAGTTTTCTACAAGATGAAATCACATGAAATTTTTTTCTGAAAAGATCTATTAGTAAAATATGCATCTGGAGGTTTATTAGATAGGATCATCCCTGTGTTCTTTTTGTTTCCCTGTTTAAGCTCAAGATTCACTTTCAAAAGAGATCTGTGACCTTTCTCTCGATCCTGAGGCAAGCTTGAGCCATAATTCGCAGTTCACCAAGCCATTGATAGTTTGCATCTTTTAGTAGCTATAAAGAACTAATGAGAGCATAGAAGGTTTGAAATCTTTCGTTAATAATGCTTTTACTTACGGGTAGAATGGTTGGTGATCCAAAAATAAAGTTTGTTTCATCTTGGATCTTAGGTAGGTGATAGAAAACAAAACCCCATGAATTCTGGTCCTGTTGGTAAACTAGTGGTGATATTTATTGGTTTAAGGTGGTTTTGAGCCAGTATTGTCTGAAATGGTTTAAAAGTACTTGATAAGAGATGAGATGACATAAACCATTCTGTAGGTATTAATTTTATGATTTTGGAGAATGAAAACAAAATCCAGTCCGCCCAATCTAGATCAGCCTTGCATGAGAGAAGAGAGACTCTGCGAGGACCATTGGCCATGGGAAAGGATTACAATCATAACTTCTTTTCTCTTCAGGTGACGTGACAGGTTGTTCTTTGCACATTCTTCTTTTCTCTTTTCTTTTGTTTCATGCTCCTACAAGCCTTTAAACTGCAAGTACCATGCTAAAAAAGGAACTTGGAATTTTGCCTATACCTTAGATCCCAACTCAGACCAGTGGGGCATTGCACATGCCAAACGAAGGGTTTGCAATGAGATACTCATGGCATTTTATACATGTGATACTTTCTGGTAACTTAAGGAGCACTTGCATTTTAGTAACTGGGACAAGTAATATAACGTTTAATACATGTTGATGAATTAGAATTCAGTGAAGTAACTCATTGTTCCTCTGTCATGAGAAAAGTAGCTTAGTGTAGGGTAATATTGCAGGTATGTTGATGTTTTTAGTTAAAAGATATTCAATAAAATTTGACAAACACTTCTTTGAACCTGAAAGTGTGCTATTTAACCATTTGAACATTAACTCCTTATAAATGCATATATTTTAAACTGATGAAATATCTGCTATTGTTCGTCCAATTATCCATAAGAATGTATTCCAAAATTTGTCAATTATTGAAAAACATACCAAGCTTTACTATAGTCTGACAGATCCTTTTAGATTCTAAAAGCATCAAAGCGAAAAATGCGACAATTTGATATTTTAGATTCGAATATGATGGAATCATCAGAGCATCCGTGCAATACAGATATCAGAAAAGAGGATCTGGAACTGACTGATACCATGATTCCAGACCTTGTTTTTGCTATTTATAGTGCATTTATAAGTTTAGGTGTTACTTTATTTAGGGCGTCCCATGCTATGCTTATCTCATGTGTCATGTGCATTTAAAGCTATCAAACACGTACCAGTTTAAGAAATTTCAGTACCTATGATGTTCATACTTAGATTGGTATTTACTAGTTTCAATATATGAGAAATCTGGGCATTTATTATTATTACTATTTTGTGTTATCGCAGGTCCCTATATCAAATATCAGAAACTTTTGTATTATTGCCCATATTGATCATGGGAAATCAACATTAGCAGATAAATTATTACAATTGACGGGTACCGTACAGAAGAGAGATATGAAAGAACAATTTCTAGATAATATGGATCTAGAAAGAGAAAGGGGGATCACGATCAAGTTACAGGTATCTCTAAACTTCTTACCTTGGGTGCTAAATGCGGAATATTAAATATTGGTTGCAGTTTGAAAGAAATAATTGTACACAATAATCAACTCGAGTCTAGAAATGACTAACTTTTAGTGAATCTTACCCATACTACGCTGTTTGCTAGATTTTCAAATACTATATTTACATTTTGTTTGTTATCCGATGTGTACCCTGAACTGAAGCATGATAGACCTGCAATGCATGGTGGACGAATGTGAATACAAATTGATCAAGTAAAGGGAAAATTTTCTTTTGTTTTTTAGTTTTTATTTTCTCTTCATCTATCTGGGCGACATTGTGAAGCCTTTTATTCTATTTGACAGAAATTTTCATATATGTCAGCAGATTTAATTTTTCTTTGTCAATCCGGGCATGAACATATGATAAATTTAGTTCTATTTCAGATATTTCCATATTGTTCAATAGACTTAGTAGTTAGTACTGGATACTCTAATGATGCATACAAGTTATAGTATACGGTATAGGGAGGGGCCTCTGAGGGTGTTTGGGGGAGCTTATTTTTTGATCGAAGTAGCTTATAAACTAGCTTTTTCATCTATGTGTTTGGTGATATCCCAAATAAGCTAGCTTTTAAGCATTTAAAAATTTGGTAGTTCCCAACTTTTCAAAAACTGACTTATAAGCTTATTTCAATGAGCTAGGTTTGACCAAGTAATTACTTTTCTACCCATACAGTTTTATAAAAATTTCATCATAAAAGGCAAAAGCTACCAAAAGTCAACGTAGCTTATAAGATTCAAAAAAATAAGCTCTCCCAAACACCGTCTATAGAAGAGCATATGCTTTTCAAAATCTGGCTGATGTGTCAAACAAGTCTTTTAGTTATAATTATTGAGCCATTATTAAACCAACTGCCTGTTTGAAATAATTTGATTGCTACAACCACAAATGTGACAAGGATCAATACATTTATCTGAATCCATGGGATTATGATAAGCCAAGGAGTCTGTTAGAAGCAATTTCTATGAGGAGCTATCTTAATGTGCTTAGTCATGTCTCTTACAAAGAAGCAAATAAAATCCAAAATACATTTAAGCAAGGCATGTACGAGGAAGAATCTATTTTCATGTAGATCCCACGAAATCATGGCTTTGCTTTGTCTGATGGATAAATTGATCCAAATGTTCAGTTTTTTAAAATGAAAGAAAAAGTTGTTACATAAGCATAGCTACACAAGTTATTCAATGTGAGTATATGATTAAATAACATATTGCATAATACTGGATAAAGATTACTTTCTAAGCAATGTTGTAATCATGTTTTCACTACTCATTCGATCCAAGAGAGCTTAATGCATAAACAAATTAGGCGCTTCAGTTAAACAGATTAAGGAATTATGTGGTAATATATTCTTAATCTAACTCGCACATGTAAATTTATAAATCAGCATAAAAATATATGACAAAATTTTAAAAGATGTTGCAGTCTTCATCCAATCTCTTTAAAGTCTTCATTCAAATTTGAAATTCTAAGGTTATCATATGTCTTAAGAAGCGAGAAAATTAAGCATATGCTAGATAATCACCATCTTAATAAGCTTAATTACTTTAATTTGCATAAGAGACCAAAAAATTCAGAAGAAAGTAGCATATTCTCTAAGGGATTTTGTCTTCTATCTATTTAAATTTCTAAATCTTATCACAAGTTATGGACTTCAAGACTTTATTTACAGGCTTCAATCAAACATTTAAGAATTAAAGGAAAAAGTCACTTTTGAGTCAGAAAACACTGCAAATCCACTTTATCTTAACTGCGAAAGAACCTTTGTGGTTCAACAAGCAGCCTCAGACCTTACATGCCAAAAAAATGATCGGATGAGTCAATAACGAGAGATGTAGTACAAGATGTTTGAAAGAAACAACAAAAAACAAAGGTTGTCGGCCAAATGAAAGAAGATGCATTGAGCGAGCAAGGGTGTGAGAATGGTGGCACAATGGTATCCGTCATCCTCATGCCATCATGCCTCATGGAAAGCAACATGACTCAGATTGATTTTAAATACAAGTTTCAATTTTGTTGCTTGTTTAGTTGTTATTTAAGATCAGATGTTTTGTAAGCTTGCTTGACTTTGTAAGTTTATCACTTTCTTATTAAAAGTGGAATTCTATCATGATAATATCGGACGAGTGTGTTGCAATATTTGAATGACGAACTCGTCTATCTTTGATATCGTGCTTAACTTGTTTGAGTTGATTTGAGGGGTTTCTAAGTCATAGGTCTTGGGCAAAGAAACTATGTAATTATGTTTTTCGACGTTCTTGTAGGCAGCTCGAATGCGTTTCGTATTGGACAACGAGCCATATTGCTTGAATCTCATTGATACCCCGGGTCATGTTGATTTCTCATATGAGGTACCATAGAATTTTCTCAATTTCTTTAGAGTATCATTTTTTTTTTCTTTTAACGGCATCTATATTATGAAATTTATCAAAAACATATACATGTTTTAATGTTTTCCAGAAGCTGCATTTCTCCCTTTCTTTGTTGTACTGTCTTTAAATATAGCATGGTGTCACAAACTGAGGCTAAAGGAGTTGTAATGGATGATTGACAAAGCTACTTATAGTCATAGGACCATTTTTGGGACAATGAGTATTTCCAGGTCTTCATTTTGAAGCCCTGCCCTGGACCTTAACTTTGTCAAGACTGAGCCCTGGCCACCTCAACAAATAAGGGCCAGGTGGGACCTGAAATTTTTGTTGATATAGGACGCTTTAATATTATTAAACTCCTTTGTATTTGGTTAAAGCTAGTAAACTATTTATTAGAAAGCTGGACAGATGGAATTGTAGCAAACATTGTGTGGTTGTCATTTTTTAATGAGTATTTATTATCTGTTTGAACAAGAATTACATTTCATTTCTGTGCATCCCTATGTAAAGATACATACTGAAGCAGTCATTAAGGGAGATTTAATCTTTAATGGTTAACGCCTTCTTTCGCAAGAGGGGAAAACTTGTTTTTTAATACATTTTGACAGAAATATCAACCCTTTGTAGATGGAACTCTGAAAACAGCGCTTAGACAAGACCTGTAAGCAACCATAAGTTACATACCAAGATTAGGACGGGTGATGATATCAGACCTAGCATTATAAACATGACCCTGACTATCAAGTTGAAATTGGTAGATGTTGAAACCATTAGGTTGAAAGTCATAGCTGAAAGTCAATAGTACTAAGAGTGTGAACCTGATAGTTACTATACTACAGGAAGGCAAATAAAAGTAATGTGTAAGAGGCTTGATTTCTTGTCTCATGTTTACTTTCTCTAAAGAAAAGACCAGTTGAAGTGGAGAGTTTCTTTAAACAAGATATTAGTGGATCTCATTTAACTGACAACTCAGCAGTCTTTGCTTATAGAACTGATTAGTGGTTAGCTAAAGTGACCTGAACAGCCTTTTCTGCCTCATTTCTTGACCATCATAGGCCCAAGGAAAGCATACTGGTCCATTGATGAGCCCAAATATGATTTCAACCGCTCCAGGCTTCATCTGCGCCACAGGTTTAGACAGTGTTATCTCTGGCACTCTGGGGTGATCCCCTCGGGTTCTTTGGGGCGTTGCAAGTGCACCTTGCATAAGGTGCAGCGCACATTGCGTAAGCGAGTTGTATATCTCGTTGTGCCTCACTGTTCCTCACCATTCCCCTACTTTTTCTACTACATCCTCTTATTCCTCCTCTTTTGCCTTCTCTTTTGCCTTTGTTCTTTCATTCTCTCACCTATTCCGTCAAATTTGTCTAAGCCCTCATCTTTGTACTCATTTCCCCCCTTTTTTTCCTATTGTTGTTTCTACTTCTATATCTGGAAGGTTGTGGAATCACAAACTATTATTCTAGATATTGTTACATCAATTATTAATAATGAAGAATTTGATTACGCATCCTTGCTCTTTTGCTGAGTTATATATACTTTGTAGGAAGCATTATTGAATTATGATCTCATTGATCTGTATATGTTATGCTAGATGTTCTTCTTAGAATGTCAGTAACCGTGGAAGTGTGATTCAGAGTGAAAGTTCTTTTATATATTTTGATTGTGAATGATTACTTAAATTATGGAAGGATAGAGTTAAATGGCATTAATATTCTTTAAACTAGTGTCAGCGTTATGAATTAAGACCGTATTGTTATGATTTGCTAGGTGACATTATTATCTAACATCATTTTTCTAAAAAAAATATTATGTTTGTGGAATGCACCTTGCTTCACTAAGGCGCGCACAACCCCTTGCCCATGATGCTTGTGTGCGTTGCACATGATGGACGTCAGGATAATTTGCGCGTAAGGGTAATATCTTGTGCCTTGATAACATTTGGTTTAAGCTAGTTTCTAGATTCAAACTAATACAACAACAACAACAACAAAGCCTTTATCCCATATGTTTGGGGTAGATTCAGTCCAGTAAAAGGGAGAAAAATAAATGAACTGTTATTATTGGTTCTCTAGGGTGAAGGTCATAGAAAATGTGAATCTATTAGAAAAGATCGGAACTTGGAGAAGTTGAATGCAGAATATAGTAGTTCAAGAAATTTTCATCTTATGCAACAATTATATTGAAATATATCAGTCACCTTCCACGATAAATGTTGACCTTTTATGCAAGGATAAGAAACTTTATGTCTAAAGGATGTTTCAGACTTTGAACTTGCATAAAAGATATAAAAGTTGAGTCCATTGAGCTTTTTCGGTCCATGCATTAAATAGACATAAATTAGTGAATTGGCTAGTTTAATGGTCTATCATGTTTGAGGCTTGACCAAAAATTAGTATGTAAGGATTTTTTAAAGTGTTAGATATTATTGTCATTGGTGGATTTAGTAGATATCGTGAGATGTTATTGATATGATTTCTCATATCTATTTTGTAATATCCTCCTAATCTCTATATTAGGGCTAGATGAATAATATCTTTGCCTTTTCTATTTCTCTACATGGTAACAGAGCCTACCTCTTGATCCTAGAGAACTCCTTGCTGTCAAGATCTTTGGGCCGCTGAGGGGGTTTTGCCGCAAGCACTGCCTCCACGCTTACCCTCAACAGATTCGACACGCTTACCCTCAACGGTTTCGACAAAATTTGGCTTCACATCTTTGCATTCTACATTATACTAAGTCTTTGTTAAATCTCAATAAATAAATAAATAAATCCTACCCATGAAAGACCCTAGCCTTCCAGTACTGTTCACTAATGAACAACATTGGTGGTACTGTTCACCAATGAATAGTAAACCGTGTCTACTATTCATTTTGAACAATAACCCTTCGTCACCTTCCGGTAGTTGGATGCAAAATAGTTGATTTTGACATTGTTCTATTGGCTGACCCATTTGGGTTTCTATTTGTTAACCTGCCTATGAGTTGTATTGGCTGACTGACCTAGGGTTTTTACTAGCTACTAGCTAACCGGTTTAGGATTTCTACTGGCTTACCCGTCTAAGGTTTCTACTAGCTTACCCACCTAGAATTTCTACTTGCTTACCCATCTAGGATTTCGTCTTGCTATGACTACATTTGTTGCTAATGTCTTCAAGTATTCTGGTCAAAGATGACATTACCAAATCTCTTGCAACTTGTTTTGTTCCAATTTGTAATGAGCTCGGCATATATAATATATATATACTTCAGTTTGAGGGGAAGTGTTAGATATTATTGGTATTGGTAGATTTCATAGATCTTATGAAATGCTATTGATATGATTTTATCTCATACCTATTTTATGCTATTCTCCTAATCTCTATTTAAGGAAGATTAGGGTTAGATGAATAAAATCTTTGCCTTTTCTTTCTTTCTACATTAAGTATTTACATTAGGATTATATTTAGATTTTAGATGTAAAATTTTATCTTGAAATTTGGGTATAAGCAAATTGTCACTGTTGAGCATCAATTTCTTGCCTACATAAGTTAAAAAGAAATTATTTTGGGTTTAGAAGCTTAAAATGGTCTAGATCAACTTCTGAATGAGCAATTCTCTATATATTCTCATAAAAATGTTTGGTAAATAATAAAATAATAGTTTAATGTGCCCAGAGGCTGTGTAGAATTACTAGATGGGCTGTTTAGAATTAGTAGATAGATATCTTATAAATTTCTCGGAAATTGCAAACACTATGCCACAAGAATCAATCTAAAACAAGTCAACACAATAATTGTTACAATAACATTAGCTGTTTCTGTGTACATGCACAATTACGGGACCTTAGCTGGATTCACCACCTTCAGGTCCTTGCAGCTTCCACCTTGCAGAGCAGATTTGATGCCAAATACGATGGGTTTGGCTGGTGTAGAAGGTGGTACAGCTGCTATGACCTTGTGCAGTCTACGGAAAAATCAACTTCAACTCTAATTGTTCTCTCTTAATCATCTTTGAGGACAACTAGAAAGTCTGATGCTGTCAACACAAATGTCTTAGAAATGCTAGAAAACCTTACAGATTAATAGTGGTGTCATTATATGAAAATATATCTTTCTGCAATCAGTTTGGAAGCCTTAAAGCCAAGGACTTTTTTTGGGCTGTAATAAGGTTAAACTATAAATTAGTAGGAGGCGATATCAAATCCATTGGTCCTAACATATTTTGTATTTTTTTCTACTTGTTGCCGACCTTACTTGGTATTTCATCTAAAAGGATTGTTAGATCTCCTCTTTTGGTTTATATTTCTCATTGTTACAGATTCAATGATACTTGAGGATAGTTGTATGTAACTGGTATGATTGATGTTGGATATACCATTGAGAGGATAGATGCATGTAACTGGTATGATAGATGTATGTAACTGGCATGATATAATGTGACGCATGGAGTTGGTGATGATTAGGGTTACAATTTGCATGCATGCTTCATAGTTCTTGGATGCCTTGGTTTTTTTCTGTTTCTTCTTTGTGGGGATTTTTAACATAAGAGTTAGAAAGGCTGAGGTTTCACATGTTTTGTGGGACTTTTAACTTAAGGAAAGTGAACTTTGATTTAGTGAAAATGAGGATTTCCTAAAATATGTTCTATCTAAGATTTTTAATTTGAGCTGCTGTTCATAGCTGTTTACTTCTCATAGTGAATTCAATGTTGGAATTTGGAAGATGACTTAAAATTTTGAGTTCTATTATTTCTATAGACTTATCTTAATAAGTAAATTATACTTTCTGTCAATTAGGTTTCTCGATCTCTGGCAGCTTGTGAAGGTGCCCTTCTAGTTGTAGATGCTTCTCAGGTGCATAACTTTTCTTCCTGACAGTAAGTTGCAGTACCGAACACTCCTAAATGCGAAAACCTAACTATGTTACTGTAAACATTGTTTCAAATACCAACAAACTAGAAATTTGCAGCCTGTTTTTGGTTTCATGCTCATGATATTAATTCATCTTAGGTACCATATGAGACTGATTTTAATGAATTACAATGTACAGGGAGTGGAGGCTCAGACATTGGCTAATGTTTATCTGGCGCTGGAAAACAATCTTGAAATTATACCTGTGAGGCCAGTTTTAACATTTTAAAATTAAAGATAATAGCTACTTCCTTCTCATTTTATGTTCTATAGGTCGTTCTGAAGATTCCTATTTGTGGACATGCATTGGTTTCGCAGCATAGTTTCTTTTGAAAATATAAAAAAGCCTTGTTTAAATTTAATTGGAAAAACTACCAACTTAATATTTGCTTGCAATAACCAGCCAACTATTGGCTGCATCAAAACCGCAGGTTGCTAGTTCTTGTTTTATTTTTTCTGTGGTTTTTAAATGAACTGAGGTTTTTAACAACCGGGTTCATTATCAGATCAAAGGGCAGCACATTAAATTAATTCAAAGTTGATCAATCTACATCAAGTTTATATCCTACCCAGCCTGACCTCAGTCACTTAGAATCTTTAGTTGTAGTTCTTGCAGCCATTCTTCTTTTCTCACGGTCTAGTCAATTATTCCATATGCAAACTCAAATCAAGTGACGAAAAGAATTTTTCTTTGGAATAATGAACTGGTTAGCAAAGGTTGTGACTCATGCACGAGGAATTTATGAGCTTCAGGACTTTGATGCCTCTCTGTTACTACATAGGCCTAAACCGGGCCCACATCCAAAGTTAATGAAGTTAATTAATTGAACTAATAAACCAGGGTTGGGAACCCTGGTTTCATTTAGAAACCATAAAAAAACAAATCAATCAACTTTTGTCTGCATCATCCTTGTGGCCGAAGGTTGGTTGATTTATTCGAAGATAGTGTGGATCGTGTTATAACAATGTTAGAAAAGCATATAAACAAAGGTAACATTATTTAGGCTCTGATCATAGTCCGCAAAACAATGTATAAAACCATTTCTTAAAAAAAATATCATTTCAATGCTTTGGTGTTGAAAGGTTTGTTATGAATGACAAAAAGCATTCATGTGCTTTTGACTAATCCTTTTAAAAATTGTTTTAAACACGTTTGGTTTTTTGTACTCTAAATATTTTGTCATGTCCTAAATTATTAAGACATTCCTTAAACTTAAGTTGTGATTTGGTCATACATATTTGCTATTAAGCCTATTTATCTATGAAGCATTTAGAACGAATCTAAAATAAATGTAAGACATATATATTATTTGGTAATCTTAGAAATACTTTGTTTGAGTACGTACATACGTAAATATAATGTTTGATATACACATTTTGGCACACACCCACACATGCATAGTTTTAATATCTGTGTTGTTGGAAGTAAATCATTTTAAGCACGAATTGTTAATCATCCAATTTCTTAAATTTGCTTTATTCTTTCTGCCTTTCTGATATGTACTTTTGTTTACTTTTCATACTAAACACGAAAATTTCTCCCTTTCTGTTCCCAAATTCTGTCTTGTCTACTACGGGTTTGATGCCATCTTTTCTCATGTACCCTTGTCATCTCTCTTGTTTTGTCGTTCATTAGGTTTCTTTTCTTCTACTATGACTGACATGTTTTATCTGTGACATCTAGTTCAAAAGTTACGTAGGAATTGGTGAACATGATTTTGATCTTCTGGTGTTGGAGAAGCAACTATTCTAAGAAACTAGTTCCTAACATCTATAAGAAAGGGTACTTGCTTGCTTGTTTCCGGATACAATGGGAAACTACTACTTCCAAGACGCACATGTCACAAATATTTAGTCTAGAAATCTGAGAAGTGAACAATGATTAACTTTTACTTTTTTTTAAATGGCCATAACTATACTTGTAGTTGATTTTCTATGTCTTGGATCTTGGTGTTGAAGTAAGTTAGTTGCAGGTTGAGCATGTGATAGATGAGTAAGCAAACATTTCATTTCTAGGCTACTAACTTCTGAAGTTTTTTTTCTAAGAAATTTAACCATCAAATGCAACAATGCTGTATATATTTTCTGTGATGTAGGTTTTGAATAAGATTGATTTGCCAGGCGCTGAGCCTAGTCGTGTTTCCAAAGAGATTGAAGAGGTTTGTGAAGATCAAAACTCTCTCTTTGTTCAAAAATTTCTGATACATCAGCTTCTGGAAGAACTTACAATGCAAGATTTTCTGTTGTAGAGATTGTTCACAGCTTTTAAACACACACACACACACACAAACTTTTATGGGCTCTCTTGAAAAGTTAAGCAGGTGTATCCAACAGATCTTGACCACTATAAGTACTTAGTAACTAGGCTAAGTTGATATGCTTGTTGTTCTCTCTCACTGCCACCCTCCCTCTTCCTATTTTTATCTTTTTTTTCTTGTTTCTTTTTGTATCTGTCTGGTATCTGATTACCATATTTTCTCCAGATTATTGGGTTAGATTGTAGTGATGCTATTCATTGTTCAGCAAAGGTTAGTTGTTTCAGTTACTGGCTTTTGTTTTTGAATGAGTATGCTAAATATTGCTGAAGTATCACTCATTGTATACACAATTTTCATATGTTCTTATGATAAATATGTTAATTGTTGGTTTTTGATCTTTGGTGCAGGAGGGAATAGGCATAAATGAAATTCTAAGTGCCATTGTGAGAAAGATTCCGCCTCCTAAGGATACTGTTGGAAGTCCATTAAGAGCTCTGATATTCGATAGGTAATTCTGGGTCAATGAGTATCCAGGTTCGGCGTAATGATTTCTTCTCAATAGTCAACCATTGTACATTTGTACTATTTCTAGCAGGGAATAAATGGGACTGTCTATTAAGAAGCTAAATAAGATCAAATACATTTTTGTACTTTTGCTAGCAGGGAAAAAATTTGAGACTGACAATTAAGAGGATAATATGAGATAATGAGACCAAATACATGTATCAAACAATCAACAAGAGCCAAAGTGAGTAAGTGGTATGTAATACTAATTAAAATATCCACAGAATGCATAATTAGATCTAATGTATGTCATAAGTCTAGGAGTTCAGATGGTATTAGAGCAAACCAAGCTCAAAAAAAAAAAAAAAAAAAAAACTGTGTGAATGAGCTCAAATCCAGCCCATGGAAAAGATATCCTACTTTCATGGCATGCTAGAGTATAAAATTATAATCCTCAACTTTCATAAGAAATTCAATTGTTGTTGTAGTGGAAGTTTCTTTTAGAGGTTCTACTTTTTCATTGCTAGAAGAAAAAATGTTTGGTTCTCTAATTACTCCACCCTGCCCTTTGGGATAGCCCTCTCTTGGGTTGTGTGGGGAAAAAAAAAAAAAAAAAAAAAAAACTGTGTGAATGAGCTCAAATCCAGCCCATGGAAAAGATATCCTACTTTCATGGCATGCTAGAGTATAAAATTATAATCCTCAACTTTCATAAGAAATTCAATTGTTGTTGTAGTGGAAGTTTCTTTTAGAGGTTCTACTTTTTCATTGCTAGAAGAAAAAATGTTTGGTTCTCTAATTACTCCACCCTGCCCTTTGGGATAGCCCTCTCTTGGGTTGTGTGGGGAGTGGGTGAGAAGAGAGACATCTTACTCGTTTTCTCTTCTTTATGTATAAATAAAATTTCAAGCCAAATTGAAGCTATATTTCAGGAGAGATGAACTAATAACAAAATCAAATTGTGGTTGTGGAGGGCCCATCAATGGACATGGCTATTTTCTTATTCTATTTGTATATATATTTTAGGGTAAACTACATATAGTCCAAAAGTTTACCTTAATAATTCATATCCCTTTTCTAGCTCTTTAATTTTCAACACTTTGTTTCACTAATGTTGGATGGCTAGTAACCCCACCTATTTGTGTGAATTAGGGTTTGAGCGGAGGAAGTGGCAGCCAAGAAATTTTTTGTTCAACTAAAGCTTGGTAAGAAAAGTAGATAAGATTAAAGGCTACACACCCATATGGCTTCACACCCTAGGGTTTAGGGTTCACACCCTAGGGTTTAGGGTTTTGGTTTTACACCATATACTAGTATTTCACACCCACAGTCATCTTCAAGGATTACCAAATTTCCTATTCATCAATTAAAGAAATAGTAGCAAAATAATGTACATTCCCAATCCTAAGTAACATAGAATTTCGAACAAAGCATTCCTAATAAATCCACTCCAAAATAGAATTTTTAAACAGACTTAATGTTAGCAAATTCAATCTTAAATAAACTAAGGTTGCAATTCGAACTAATTCAGATGTAAGTAAATTCATGACTCTTATCTAAAGTTAACAGTCTTAGAAGACAATTCAAATATGAGGTAAAATAGAATATTGTCTACATTCGTACATTCATATAACAACATTCTTTGAGATTTTGACCCTCAAGATGTAGAATTTGATTAGTGGTCGGCCGCATACTTGTATTTCAAGTTGTTAGCATTGAAACTATCGATTGTTAGCACTTAATGTGTCTCTGTAGTTCTTGTATATCTTTTTTTCTACAATTGCGTGTGAAAATCCAAAATTGGAACTTCTTTCTCATCTCCAATGTTTTTTTTTCAAGAAATCTTTCGATTTTCATATGTTCTAAACCAAATTTCTTCTTGCTAAGAAAATGTGACAAGTTTGAAGTACAAAAGAAGAAATAAAATCTTGAGCCAACAATTTGGAAAGTTGTTTGCATGCATAATGAAGGAGTCATCAAAATCAAGCATATGACTTGTTAAAGAGTGGTTGGAGGAAGATCCAGGATGACGAAGTCAATCATCTCTATTGTTAGAATATGGATATAAGAAAGATATTTACCAAAATTTGTCTTCTATTTATCATAATCATAGACGTCATTACTCAAATTATCTTGATTTGATTGAATCAACATAAGATTCTTCTCGGCAAGCAAATAAGATTGTTCTCTGGGATCCAATTCTACCTCCACAATTCGCTATGGATTGTGCTCTTTTCTTCAGCAACTCTGGTTTCTCTCTGCTTTTGTTAGGGGTGGACTCTGGTTTGAGCTTCCAGCTAACTTCAATTCTTATTTTGGATCTGACGGGGCTCAAATTTCAGATTAGATGCGGTTCTGGTTGGGCCTCTAGTGCTAACTTATGATCTGGCTTAGTTTTGATTTTGGTTTTGATTTGGGCTCATTGTGAAGCTTGTACTCTGAAACTACCTTTTGTTTTAATGGTTCCTGGTGCTTGATTCAGACATTGGTGGCAAAATTACATCTTCTTAAAAAGACTTTATGTAATATGGAGGTAGAGGATCACTAATGAAAGAATGCAGAGAGTATTGATTCTTATGTATATTCTTCGTAGCATGAGCGTTAGGGTGATTTTTCAACCACTAATCTATAGCATTTTTAACTACAGCTTACATATATATATATTTGCACATTGTCATATCATAATAAGAAAATAACCCATCCAAATATTTTATCCAATTTTCATATCCATATGGATGGAGAAAACCCAAAAAATAAGGACCATCTTTGAAATTGCAAGGACCGTAACAATGTTCTTGTGAAGGAGCAAGGACACTTTATTGTTGGAGTAATTATTAACAATAATATGGATCATTCGAATAGAATAAGTACGAACATGAGGATTGAGAATAAGTTATAAGATACGGAAGAGTCAAAACTATTGAAGCAATCACATGAATTACTGAGAGCTAATGATGCTAATACTTGGAGCAAAATGAATATTATGTCCAAAAACTTTTCCTCTTGCAATTTCGTGGGAAATTGGATGTTGTCTTTTTTTTTAACCTATTAAAAGTATAACTATCGTAGTTTACTTTTGGGACGTGTAACATGCTAATGAACTGGCCCCTACACTAATTGTGAACTTAATATGAACCTGAAAATTTTATACCTTAGCTTTTAGACCACAAATGAACCCTAAGTTTGAAACTGAAATGTCCCTAGTCGAAAACTTAAACCTTAACCCAAAACATATCCCTAACCTTAATGCATGATAACCTGAAATATCTCTAAATTACTAAATGGGTACAACTTTAGAATTGGAAATGATTTTGTTAGGCAAAGGTTGTTAGAATGAGGTTAGATTTGAGGATAGTAGTATAGATGGGGACGAGTGACAGGATTTGGGTATTTGTTTATATTAAAAATAGGGATGTGGTTTTTAATGATTAGACCGTCATATTCACAATATTTTTGAACTTCTAGTAATTTGTTGTTTAGCTTTAGAGGATATATTAAGCACTAGGGCAATTTTGCAATAAAGATGATCCTTTGACTGGTATGTTATCACTTTTTGATGGTAGACTCGAAGTGCTAAGATCAGAAAACCTTAGCGAGATAATGTCTTATCGTGGTTAACTCTGGTGAGGATAAATATGATCTTCCCATGTTTTTGTTATTAGTACTTTGGGAGTGGGGGTTATTAGTACTTTGGGAGTGGGGGTGGGGGTTGGGAGTCATTGTGCAAGTGGGACCCATAGGTGCAATACATATAGGAAATTAGTAGATGTTGATTGGTTGACAGAAAAACTCATTGCTTATTATTGTCAGCAATAATCATTTGGATTCACTTTATATGAGCTCCTTTTCTTTTTTCATCCACTCCATGCATCATCAACTATAAACATGCACTGCTATTTTTTTCTCTTATCTTCATTTCTTTGTCTCCAGTCTAATTATCTTTTACATTGTTATCTATAGCTATTATGATCCATATAGAGGAGTCATTGTTTACTTTCGAGTTATTGATGGAACTATAAAGAAGAGCGACAAAATATACTTCATGGCTAGTGGAAAGGTAAAATACTTTAAATTTTATTTCTCTTAATTTATTTCTATATGTGATTCGGTGAAGAATGAACTTCACATCTCAGTACAGGGTTTTTAAAGTGTAACATGCGAACATGGTAAAATAAGAAGGCAAAAGATTACATTACACATTTTAAAGATGGTTAGAAATTTGAGTCCAAGATAACTCATAAGATAATTTGCTTCACGTTAGTATGTTTTTAAGAATGCATCCCTATCTAACAAGTAGTAAGAACCCAAAAGTAAAGTAGTTATTGCCTACCGAATTAATTTATTGTTCTCTGTAGAATGAGTTGTCCACATGCAACATGGGTTCTCTATGTTTTCTATTTCATGTGGTTTTTGCAATTTCCTTGGTCTTTTCTCTTTGCCTCACAAACCATTTGGATTGGTTTGTGTTTGTAGTATAGATGAAAGTGTAATCATTAACGTTGTTTATACTTACCAATGTCAAATTGCATATTTACTGAATTTCTCTAGGATAAAGGAAAATACACCAATTGTTTATGTCAGAAAGTTAAATTGTATGAGTGGATGGATATTTGGAGGAGTTTAGGATCCCTTAATCTTCCCTCATGGCTGATTAATCAGGAGGACGCACATCCTGCATAGGTAACACCCGTAAGAGAGTCGGAGGAGATTTCCCCTAGTATGCCCTGCGACGTTCCAGTCAGTAATAGACTAAACAAGCTTGCAGAATGTAGAGTCTAGTTGTTAGGCGTGATTCAGCGTGCCTTGGTACAATGTGATTATCTATAGAGAATCTGTGTGGGCACATAAGTAATTTGACTGGGTTGGTGCAGTCAGTCGGTTAGACTGCACTTTACACATGTCGGTGGTCGGTTGAATGAGCATCTTTATATTTAATATGACAACGGCAAAATGGTTGAAGTGTTAGCATCGTCCGAGGAGTCATTATGACTCTTGCTTCGAGAAGCCATAGGGACTCTGACCATGCATTTATGATGGTGACTGGACGGCAAAGTATGAGTGTCGTTTAGCCATGCATTAAATGCGAGTAATGTTAGTGAAGTGATAGGTTATTCCATGTATCGAGGCGTTTTTTAGTGGAGTCCGAGCAGAAGATGCCTTCGTCTCGGACTCGAAGTCCTTTAGCCGATCCTGGCCTAAAGATGCCTTTTGTCTCGGGCTCGGACTGCTAGAGAGATCGGCTGTTGTTTATGCTCAGGTCTTGCTCTCAGATTACAGGACTCGGCCATTTAATTAGGACATGTAGCCAGCTCTCAAGAGCTCATTAGACTTGGTAATTCTCAAGATACAACGCTAGCTCCTTTCACTCAGACTCGGGAAGCGGAGTTCAAGATAAATTGAATTGTTTCAACTTTTCGCCTCTTCAGGGATGTGAACCGCTTTTTTGGAGACAATTGTGATTTGATGTTCTGACGTTAGGAAAGATTGTGTGTAATAGACTACTTTGGTTGACGAGATGGCGCTTCGCTTGATGAGATGACGCTTTGGTTTTGAAAATCAACGGTTTTTAGGGATTCGAGTCAACCGCGAGGATTGCGCTGCGTGTCACCTACCACGCGCCTATAAATATCCTCTTCTCTAATCTCCTCGGATGTTGCTTCCAAATTCTAAACCCTAGAAATTTCTTAGCCGTCTATTAGAGCTCTGATCATCATTTCTGAAATCTTAGTTTTTCAGAACTCCGATCATCTACTTCGACTGCTCTGATGGCTACTAGTGCGCAACCTTTATTGGCCCATAATGAGGGCCAGATTCCTCTGCTCCAGAGGAATAAGTCGTCGGTGCTCCGAGTTCGCGTCGAGCTGTAGGTAAGGGATTATGTCATTCCTAGTTCCTTCACATTATATGTTCTGACGTTGGTCGTGTTGTCCACCATTACAGGGGCAATTTGATGCCAATGTATTGGCATCATCTTGAGTTTGACTTCCGTTTGCGGCTGCATCCTTTTTTTAGCATGTATTTCGAGCGCTCAGCATATCGTTGGTGCAATTGAAGCCCAAGTCCGTAGCTTTTTTGGTTGTTTCCTCATCATCTACCATTAGGTGAATGTCGAGCTGACCCTAAGGATCTTGTGTCATTTATTGTGCGCCAAGACCAGCGAGGGAGAGGGACACTTCTATCTTTAATCGGTTGGTGGGTTTCGATTGGTCTCAAACATCCCCGACACCAAGGGTAAAAAGAGAAGTTCTTTGTCTTCGGCGCCAACCCTATTTTGGCCTACCCCACATGATCGGTGATCAAGGAGGGCTTGAGGGCAACAATGCTCTTTGAAGTAGAGAGGTAAGGGCTAGAGAAGATTCGGGCCTACAAGGGGTCTCGCTGATGAAAGAACCTCTTTGATAATGCCATGCTCTGAGCTACCAGCATACCCCACACGCTGACGTCAGAAGAAGATTTGGCTTAGGCTATAGTTTTGGCTCTTGAAGTGTAGCCGGAAAAGGCTCCTCATGCTGGTTCCTTTGCGGGTCCTTCGAAGCAACTGTGCATTGAGCTGGTAGAGGAGGTTCAGGCTCTACGTTAGGACCCGGTTGAGGTTACAACCTGACTAGGTCCTAGTTTGCATACATCCACCACTCGGGTTGAGAGGTCGGAGAAGAAGAGGAAGAAGACCATCCCTAAGGGCCATCGTTGAGCTGAGGAAGGTATGCAGGACCTCTTTGCGCTCAAAGATGAGGCGACTGAGCTTGTGCCCAGATCGATGAGTAGGGTTCCATCCTCCAAGGTTCCCCTATCCGAGGTTGTTAACTTAGGTGGCATGTCCCCGCAGTTGGCTGTCAAGGAGGGAGTAGTTGTTGAAGGGGAACGTCTTGTCCTGGGGTTGACAGTCGAGTTCCCACCTGGGAACGAGATAGGCTTTGCTACATAAGTAGAACTTAGTGAGGCCCTCAAGTCTTCGAGAGGGCTGGTAAGGAGTTGGTTGGTGGGAACCAATTATCAAAGAGGAGTCTATTATAGCGGAGGAGTCTATTGTAGCCAATGTTTTAAATATCGGATATCGGGGAAATATCGAATGGCCAAAATTCATATCGGATTGCGGATATCGGGAAAATATCGGGGATATGTGATAAATATCGGAATGTCATAATGAATGTTTGCATGCATAGTATAATACATTAAAATGTAATCTCAACATATGTCATGAAATTTAAGCATACAAAATATGAATAATATATGTTTAGGATCACTAATCAACCTTCTAAAACAAACAAAAGTGCAAAGCAACGTTGCAACATTCGATCTACTTTTTTTAGGGTAAAATGTCATTTGATATAATGGGAAAATCTTGATATATCGCCGGGTGATATATCAGACTATGTCGGGGATATTTAAAACAATAATTGTAGCGGAGGAGTCAGTTGCAGCAAATGAGTCGGCTTCACTAGGGCTTCTTTAAGGAGGTCAGTATGATTGGTCCTTTCCCCATCACACTGGCAAACTCTCTCCTCTTGAGTAGGAGAAGTTGAGAACGACCTTGATTGCGTTGTGTAAGAGCCTAATACTAGTCCCCGACATGATAGGGAGCTAACAGACACCTTTTTTGTACTGGGTCATCGATTGGATTTAAGAGGGTTGGTCTTGGACTCTAGTTCCGACCAAGCCTGTGCGGTTGAACAAATCTCTCCCTAATGACCAAAGTTTGCCAAGTTGGTTACTTGATGCCAATCTTCATCAAGCTCTCAGAAGCTATCCTACTACAGGGCTGCTTGCGGAGACTGAGCTATTCAGTAGATATTAGTGGACCCATGAGCTTTTCTTCAAGCTTTGGGAGGAGTTGGCGACTCACAAGGACGCCAGGGAGGCGATTGAGTTGCTGGTCGCTAAAACGGGGAGTGAGCTGAAACAGCTCATGAAGAGTCAGGTAGAGATGGAGGTAGAGATGGAGCGTGAGTTGTTCGGCCTGAAAAGATCAATGTTGCTATTGATTTCTCCAGATAGCGATCAACCTTCCTTGCTCAAGCTCAGGAGGAGATTAAAGTTTTCTAGAAGAACCTTGCCATCAAGGCTTGTGTCTTGCTGAAGAGAGGATCAAGTATCTTGAGTCGGAAGTTCACACGGAGAAGAGGCAGAGAGATGACGCTTATGAGCGGGCTCGGGTGACTCCTTATTGTGGAGGAGGTGAAGGTGAGGCTACTGGAGGTGGTAGCTCTTCAGGAGTCTTTTAGACGTGAAGTTGCCTTGGTTGCTCAAAGGGGCGAGCAACAACGTAATTCTCTCTTTACTCAAGTCCGAGAGCTTTAGGATCGTATAACATTACTAAAATTGGGCGCTTTTGAAAAAGAGATAACCAAGAAGTACCATAATTGTACTCTTGGTAAAGTGGAGGTCGCTCTTGCTTACAAGATAGGGTTCGATTATTTAATGAAGCAGTTCCCTCATGAGCTTAAAGGCAACCGACTGATAAGTATTCTTCTCACGTGAGTATTTGCCTCGATGTCCTTAGGTCGCTCAAGATGTAAGGCAGATTGGGAATAATGGAGGAAGATGAAGTGGTCGGTGGATTAGACGAAAATGCGGCTGAGGGCTCTAGCGAGGAAGCCAGCTTGTCCTCCTCATCAGACCGATCAAAGACCTCATTTACTGTTCCCACTCTGCGTCCTGCTTCTGCCCTGGGTTTTGCTTCTGCTCCTGCCTTAGTTTTGCTCCTGCTTTTGCCTGGGGTTCTGCTTTTGCTTCTTCCTCTGGTTCTGCTCCTACTCTAGCTCCATGACGAAGAATTATATATATAAATTTTATTTTCTCTTTTTTTGTGAATGAATGAAAGTCTAATTTTGTATGACTCAAAAGTTTTTGCAATTTCTCTAAGTTATTTCTCATTGCGTACTTTGTGCTTATTGATTTTAAGACATGTTTAGATGAGTCAGTGAAGACCGAAGCATATGTGTATCTGTCTTAGACGAGTCGGTGAGGACCGAGTTGCAAAGACTTTTCGTAATTCCTTTGTTTTACACTTGAAAACTGATACCATGGTCTTTTGAGTCGGTGAAGATTGAGTCACAA